CAAAAAAATAAAATACGTTTATGAATTTATAGTTGAAGTAGTTAGTAAAAATCAACTAATGTAACTATATTTCTAAAATTCTAAAAGAAAAAGAATTTTTTCTATTATTTTAAAGATCTATATATTTTATGAAATATGAAAAAAAATAATTTCATAATAAAAAGTTTGTAGCTCAATAAAAAATAAAAATAAAATCATACATTCACTTCAACTTCATTTTTTAGCCACAATAAAATCATAAAATATCTTAAATCTTTTATTTGTCAACCTATTAGGAAGACCAATATTTAAAAAACAGTATCATAAAATCTCAAATATTTCTCTACGATGAACAAAAATCAAAATATATAAAATTCACGAGACAAAGATAAACGATAAATAATCATATACAATAAAGATATATAATACAATGATTGAATATTTAGATAACATGATTTATTTAATGGTCAAATATATGTACGTAACAAATTTTTAAACAAATATATTTTAAATGGTAAAGATCGATATCGAAATGATTGATGATCACTATTTTCATTTTTTCAAGAAGTTTTACTAAATCAGAAAATTATTTGATTTGATTTAAATAAAATATTATTGTGTATAAAAAAAGAATTGGTTGTTTTATCTATTAAATAAATAAAGCTATTAAATTTAGTAAATTGTATAACAGAAACTCCCCCGAATGCGCGGGTCATATTCTAGTAATTTAAATATGCAACTATGAAGATAAGGAAATATAGATTTGGTAGGTATATTATCATCACTATAGGAGGTCTCTGATTATCAGTGTGTTATCTGGTTTTCTATGTCAAAGGTTCTATATGGATTCTAAGAAGATGCAATGTTGGTGTGTTCGTCTTGTTTTTCTTTTTGTTTAATCTCTGTTTTAGCATTGTCTTGAGAATTACCTTCAGTCATATCTATTTCCGGTTATTGAGTTTCCGTTAAGGTAATACGCTCCCCATGTTTGGGCTTTACTCCCTTTGCTTTGAAATCTCGCTTTGTAATCTCAGTTAACGGAAGTATCAATATAAATCTTTCAGGCGGAAAAAAAAATATGCAACTGTGCAAGTGTCAAAACCCAGAGAAGGCACTTTGAACAACTTTTAACGAATGGTTTGGTTCTTCATAGGTCCCGTTCATGGCCTTGATTTTTGTGGGTACAGTTTAAATTTTAACCACCACAAATCAAACTTATGTATATATTTTCTTATACATGGACAAAAAAGTTCAACTCTCAATTAGAACTTTATATCTTAGATGTTCTAATTACTTTATAAACATATTTGTAATTAACAAAACCGGACCTAGCCCGAAATATTTTCTAGTTTGGATAAAAGTTTTTCTTTACTATATGGATTTTGAATGATTGATTTAAGAGCATAAATTTGAAAGTGGGAGAAAAATTCAAACATAGAAAAAGAAAAGGAAGAAAACATGATAATATGATACAAGAAACATATTAGAAATTCAATAAAGCAAGGAAGAAACGTAATTTTCTTTCAATAAAGCAAGGCAGATTTTAGGGTTCATAGTCGATGAGCTTCCCACCATCATCTAGTCGTCAGTGTTTG